CTTAAAGTGTCTAACTGATTGAGAATGTACTAATTTGTCTGTTCATCGATAACCTGGATCTGCAGGCTGCACCCTGCTGATCTCCGGAGGACGCATCCCGTGAGGAATGCAAAGCTCAACATACTGTTGTGAGGTTAAGCAGTCATGTGCTGGGCATGACGACTCCTTGAGTGAGCCCAGGACCAGAGCAAAGCCTTCTTGGATGGCAGGGAATGCCCTTGATCGGCCCCTGCCTTTCCTTGAGGGCCGACATCCAAGAAATGCTTACACGTTGACAGCCATTAGAACATACAGAAACAAAGAAATTCATTTGCAGGACACGTAAAATTTTTAAGTCTCTACAGATAAAGATTTGATAAGACAGAGACGGCGAGGTGAGAAAAAAAAAACCGAGGAAGAATAATAATAAAGGAGAAGCAATTAAATTGTGTGAAACAACCTTAACTGGCCAAGACCGCCTAACTATCCCCTTATCGTAGGGGTATTGAGGAGGTGTCACATAGACAAGCCAAAAGACCCAGACTGGAGACCGTCTACATCCGGATCTGAACCCAAGGCCTTCTGATCCACAGGCGAGCGTCTAAGCGCTCCACGACGGCGTCTGCCATGAGTGTATGTGTACATGCATGTGTATGTGCGTAAGCAAACACGTGCGCATGAATTTCCGCGTGGGCGTGTGCGCATGTGTGTACATATCCACTCGAGCAGCCCCCTCCCCAACAGCCCTCACTATGTACTAGAACACCGCAATTAGCATTTCTTGGCCAGCATAGCTGGCACAAAGAAACCAAACTACAATTATAACCGATACTGCTCGCAGTAAGTTGAACGTGGTCAATTTTTTTGTTTCACATAAATGAATGGATGGATTGAAGGCCGACCAGTCTACACGCAGTTGGCAGACAGGTAGCACCTGAGATAAAGGGACAAAAAGGACACCACACAAATGAGGAAACATCATGACGCACGAAACAATGGCAACAGTCATCCTTGAGATACATTTGACGTCTTCCTTCAAAGTCGGAGTACATCTAAGAAGAGAAGCAAGGAACAAGAACTGCACACAAATAAGCCATTAAAAAGATGTACACGCAAAACTTGAGTCCTGGTACGAAGCCAAAGTTAGCAGGACGAACAACCAGGACTTTTCGTCAGAATTCACAACCAGTGAACGCAAAGAAAGATGAAGTTCCTGTCACTGATTCATTATACCACTAAAATGCTCACCATATCAATTGCCCAAAACTTTACGACTGTTACTTTATAAAAAGCGTTTCCTGAATCTTAAAAAAAAATACTTTTTTTTTTCATACTCAATGGGTTTCTCGCAAACTTATATAATAGTTTCTGTAACTAATAGTTATCTACGAGAATTCACGCCTAAGTGATCTGATTATCTTCTATACAGACGGTTCTGTGTTGGAGAGGAAAGACAAGTGCCTGGAGTTTTGTAGCGAAAGCCATTGAAAAATCTTTAGTGCAAGTCAGCCTAGCATACGACACCACAACATTTAGCATGAGAATGGAGGTGGAGGCGGTAACTGCAGCTCTCCAGTGGCTAAAGAATAAGATGATTACATATGTCGTAATTGTAACAGACCGAAAGCATGCTGGGAAAAATTAAGACAGGGATGGTTCGAGCAGAGTGGCAAGCTTCACTGGGAAGGTCACGGGTAATGAGCATACTTTGTATCTTTTCTCCAGGTGATGCCGGCGTGGTGGGTAATGAACAGGGAGACAGATTGGCTGGATCTGCACCACTTTGTTGTGAAATAATATATGACAAGGCAGATGTGGTCAAAACCCTTTGGGAACAAGCAACGGAATCAGTAGAGAAAGAAGATTTATGGCCTGGAGAGAATGGGGCAGCTGGGCGAAACCAGAGGGTCTGGCCGGCTCACTTAACTCAGAGGAAAGGCAAGACGGACATATAACCAGGTTGTGACTGTACCATCAGTATTGGAACTCTGCGTTGGCTGCTGAAGATGTGGACGGAACATGCATGGGAATGCCACGAGTGCTGTGATGCCATTCTGGACTCAACTCGAATTAACTCAACCATGCAACGTTTTCCCCTCACGAAACCAAATTATTGCTGTACTTAAATTAAACGTTGTGCAGCTAGAGGCCTGACTGTTGTAACAAATTTGCAAACACTGTCCTCAATGTAGCACAATATTGACGTACTTCTGTACGGCGCACAGTCACATCTATTACTTTATTGTTGTTGTTGTTGACAAACTGGTACGATTAATGCCTCCTGCCAGGAGAACTTTCCCTTCTTCCCATGCTGTATTGAAAATTCTTGTTAGCCATTTGACTATATGCCTGTGTGCCCATAAGTTGTAAACTCCTATGAAAAGTTTTGGTTGTTCGCCCACTTTTGGACTTTAGTTTTGTTCAAGAACTTGAGTTTTTCGCTCACATTCATTTCACAGATCTGGCTTTTTTGCTTGCACACTATTGATTCCTTGCATCTCAGGAAGATTCACTTCGACTTAGACGGAAACACTCCTTATTAGTGGCCTTTTACGACTTGCTTGTTGGAAGCTATGGCGCTATTTCTCTCTCCCCACCCCAACCCCTTCCGCCAAATAAGGCCCCGGTAACTACACCGGGAATCCGAATAGTCCCCTATCTTCCAAGCATCAGTTTCGGAAGCAAAAAAAAACCGCAACCCACTTTTTGGCTTGAATTGCACTGGGAAAAAAAGTTCCTTTGTGTTGGAAAAAAGGGGGGGGGGGGTAGGGTTAGTAGTAGTCGGCATTCATTTATTACTAACCCTAAACCCCCTATCATATGGGATGTCCCTAAATAACGCGTAATGTGGTCGCTAAACAGAGGAGCCTGTCCTACTACTAGGCGCGTCCACCAGGTGGCGAATGGTGGAAAGGCCTCTAGATATAGAGGTTAGCCACGAATATACTGAATAAGTGTCCGCGGACCAAAACAGGTAATGGTCATTGAGAGGAGGTGAATTAGTTGGTGGGACAGCTAACACTATAAAATTCCTCAAAACTCTACGATATGGCCATCGGCGGGTAAGAGGCGCCACAACCCCCCCCCCCCCCTCTTCCTGCCTTGTAGACAACGGCTATTGGAGTAAAACCATATACAAACCGGCGGAAGTCAAGGGAAAATCACGAAGAAAAGTCATGCCTCGAAACAGATTGTGGAGAAGCATTATCGCCTACGCCAGTTGGCAAAGCACCTGATGATGATAAACAGAAAAGAACCCCCAAAAAATCGTCACGAATAACCAGCGTTCCTGAAGAGGTAGCTTTAGGTAATAATTGCCCTGACCGGCGACGAAAGCGTCTATGGGTCAGCCATTGGGCGACCCAGTCGCCGATGTCGCAACATGATACAAACAGTGAGGTAATTTTATTTTACTGGTGATTTATGATTTGTTTACTATGATTTATGCTTAGTTTACACGTCGGCTCTGTCGATGCGAACACTTCGCTTCGTAATGCCGGGATGCCGGGTTCGATCCCAGCTGCGGGCAATGCGCCTTGCGTTGGTTTCGACAGTGGTATCAAGAAAGCCGACCGTCCAGGAAGCAATGGCAAACTACTGGACGTAATTTGCCTAGAGAAACCACACAACAGCCAGGGGCTGTTAGGGTTGGTTCTGCAACGTCCTGTAAAGGATACGCAACAACCTTAGTTTACACTCCTATACACTCCTTTCCAATGTCCAATGCAGGGTTGCCATATTGGCATTTTTGATGCCAGATTCCGCAAATTTTGCATATTCGAAATTGAACTGGCATAATAGAATGAACTGGCATATTTTGGCATGTTTGGGTTTTTCCTGGCTTTTCTTATCAAGTTGTGCTTACATTTTTGTGTGTGTGAAAGTTTTAAATTAATTTTATTGAGTGTTAAAGTGGGTCTGTGTACAAGGTTGCGTGGTTTCTGTATTGTACGTATTAAATATACAGGCGTCTGCGATGTGCGTATTTTGTTCAGTGTTCTATACATATGTTGCCATGTGTGAGTATTTGTGGTGCAAGTGTGTGCGCAAACAATATATACATCTTTACATGGACATTGGTATTAGTAGGAGATTTTGAAGCAGTTAGTTACCAATGTTACCAAGTTAGTTAGTTTACCAATGGCCACGTCATCCCCCCAAAAAAATGGAAAGCATCTTAAGACATCGCAAGTATAATAGTAACTAGAATAAAACATACCCACGGCTCAAAAGATCTTCAGACGGATCAAAGGCAGCATATTGTAAACTGTGTCAGTGCACTGTTGCACCAAGAATTAGTAGCATATCAAATCATGAAAAATCCGAAAAACACAGGATGAAAACTGTCAAAAAGCCAGTCACAGCTTATTACAACAATGACTCCTAGGCAAAGTAATGATAAAGTTAAAGCAGCAGAGTTGCAACTTGCTGTAGGCATGACCTGCCATGGTGCAATGCGCACAATTGATCATCTAAGTGAAATCATAAGAGCGCATGGTCGGGGGAGTACATTGGAGCACATACAGTTGCATATAACTAGATGTTCATGCCTAATTAAATATATATATATATATATATATATATATATATATATATATATATATATATATATATATATATTATATCGCCTGCACTTAAGAATGACCTTATTGGTGATTTTAATCATTATAATATTCCATCCTTATAGATGAGTTGCAAAGACTTCATCCCATCTGAGAAAATGCTTAAAGATTTTACATCCAAAAAGGTTTACGCTGTGTCTTCCACTTGTTCCAGTGAGGATGGCAGTGAAGAATTCAATCTAGAGCTTTTGATGTGAAGCGAGTACAATGTTACACTTTATTTCGTATTTTCTGGCATATTTTTGGTAATGGTTTGGCATAAAATTAAGTTTTTCATCTGGCAACCCTGGTCCAATGGACAGGCCAATGGTTCTCGATTTACTTCCGGTGTTACTCGTCTTTCGAACGTTTACCGCCATTAAATAGAGAGCAAATAGTTGCTTATCAATCTCAGTCATCATGAAACTTGTTAGGTGAATATTTCAACTGTTTTCATTTATTGTTATGTTTTGTTAACCAAATTATACACATATTTTTTCTTGTTTTTGAAGGTAACTCTTGATAAATAGGCGTACCGGCTTTAAGATTGTTTATAATAAATAATAGATTGTTTATATTGTTTATTGTTTATAAGATTGTTTATAATTATTATAAACAATCTTATAAACAATAAACAATAATAAACAATGTATTATAAAATTATAGTAATTGTAATTACGATTTATTAATAATTTAAAGCAGTGGAAACCGAAACGAAACGGAAATTAATTATATTATTTAGTCGTTTGCGATTGCATATACTCTCGAGTTTCAATGCAAAGAATAGAACTTCTTCCCGAATACTACCGTGCAGGCAGCATTGGTGTGAATGGATAATATGTGTTTTGTGTAGTAATTACTTACACTTACTGTACAATTATTTTTGTGACAAATCACATTCATGGGAATCGTCTTGTCGTCGTTGTTGTTTCTTTTACTACTTACTGTAACTAAATCTTTCCGCACTGGCTGCAAAATACTGACTGCCTGAAGGTTTGATCACCCCTGGCTAGGACTCACGAGCAAATAAAATGAAGGAAGCTGCAGGAGATGCGGTAGCTGCTGCTCGTGAGTCCCAGCCATCTAGTTTGCCACATGTTGGCCAAAAAATATCCAAACGGTGGTCTTCCCATATATCTAAAATACGGACTGTCTGCTAAGGGACAAATAATCGCGGCAACACTAGGATTACGTGACAGTCACTATCAACATTGCACACGGTACTAGTAGCAGACGATAAATACTGACGGTTGCCAAACATTTCGAGCGTTTCTGCAGACGACGATATTAGTTTATTATTAGCGACCGTTGACCAATTTCGAGACATTACAGACGATGAAAGCGATTAGCAATACTGTGTTCTTCCGGTTGGAGGATTTAGCAGCGGTAGATGTCAGACTTGTCGGCATGCGCCAAACGCGATTAAACTCATCGCCGAGCGTATCTAGGTGCCTGGGACTCACGAGTACAGTAATTGGAGGAAGTTGCAGGAGATGCGGTAGCTGCCACTCGTGAGTCCCAGCCATCTAGTTTAGCCCTCATCCGCGCCGCGCGTAGCGGCGCGGGGGATACCCTCGGCGGTAAGGCACACTCGCAGAAGCAGGTCGGCAAGCACCATATCGCCCAGACCATGTCAGAGCATTTGTTTGGCAAATATATTTTTAATAGAACTGACCCGCATTCGGATATTTTTTGATATTTAATATCAAGAAATTGGCCAATTTAGCTCTCTTTCGAACGCCATCATATTAAAGCCGCCATTTTGGGTAACAAGTCAAAGGAGAGCCAAGTGTTTTGTATGTGTGTCTTAGTTTGCAAAATTTGGCTAACCTCCGAATAACGGTACCAACTTGTCGAGGCCGAAAATATACCCTCACACTGCCTCAGTCACATGTCAGTTGCGTACTTCCGGGGACTGTACTGCCACCGCCGAATTGCGAACTTCAGGAGACTATATCGCCACCGCCAAGAGTGTTCCCCACGACGCTTACGCGACGTGGATTTAGGACTAAACTAGATACTGTCGCGGTGGCAGAAGTCCCTGTAAGTGCGCAATTTAAGTCGCCGGAAGTGTGCAAACGTGACTGAGGCCCTGTTAGGGTATGTTTTCCGCCTCGATAATTTGGGACCCTTATTTGGAGGATAGCCCACAATTTAAATAAAAGAATATATATATATATATATATATATATATATATATATATATATATATATATATATATATATATATATATATATATTTCAGCTCCTGTTTGAGGTCCAAATGTTCAGCGATGAGAATTGCTGTGGCATGTTTTGTAACGAACTCGCGTGCTCTCTGTGGGAATGGGTTGGGGGGTTAAACTCATAGTGCATCCGAAAGAGGTAGGGAAGGGGGCAGGAGGCCATTCAGACATTTCTCGTCGTTGCCGTCTTGCTGGATTCTAGCGTGGCCTTTTGCCGGGACTATGTGTATATATGTATATAAATTAAATTGAGCTATTTATATTATAATTACCAGTAACAAAGTGGATGAGTGTCATAAATTGCATGTCACGGTCTAACTATAGTATAGGTGTAGGCGCTGCTGGGGCTCAGGTTCCTTGAGACCCCCACCACCCCCCCCCCCCCCCCCTTTAAGTTTTGGTAAGCAAAAAAAAATTGGCTTAATCTCTTTGTTGGAGGCACCTTTGTTTGTGATTTCACTAGGCAATTTTACGTTCACTAGTTTGCCATTGCTTTCACTTTTTCATTGGTCAACTCTTGCAGTGTCAAAACCAATGCTAGGTAGTCTGCTGCCAGATTGCCCACGGCTGGGATCGAACCTGGCGCCTCGGAATTACATGCACATTTGCACAAGCCACAGACAGCGACAAAGTAGCAGAACTTGAGCATATATATATATTACATCAGGGCTTCTAGAACTATCTTACTATCACTTGCAGCTGATCGATATAGACCAATTTTTGGTGACCCTACTCACACTGTTGCAAAATCAGTTCACATTAAGACTATACAACTGTAATAGCTTTTGGTGAAACTTAGCTCAGCTGGGAAAAAAAATGTGAACTTGTATCCTAATATGCTGAAATTTATTATGTCCTTTATTACTCTTTGGGGGGTCGAGGAAGATATAAGGTCCTGCTTTGTGCTCTTCTGGCTGCTTATTACATGTACATACATAAAATTTATACTGTTAAAAAAAGGCAAGAAGGGGACTCTTTTCTGTGGGTTTTTTAATGCTGGGTACATATCTATGTGGTTAATCAGCACTTGGTCTTAGGTTGTTGGTAGTGTGTATCACACTTGTTGTCTTGCTTCTGAGAACATTTTTTGGTGACACTTTAATGTGGCTGGTTCAACCACAGTGCCGTAGGGTCTTAAAATTAATCATACTTGGAGAAAAAAGAGGGGGTATGGGAGGGGGGGGGGGGTGATAAGTGCATTAGCTACCTCTTCTGTATTTAGCCTCCATATTGAATGTGTCAGGACAGTACATATTGAGTCTACGGGGTGCTTTTCAGTAGATAGTTAGTTTGCTTCTGTTGCTCATCTCAGCCTTGCTAACTTTATAAATTCCACTTTTCGTCGTGGTCTAGCGGCTAGATGCTTGCATGGTCATGGTTTCAGGTCTTGTTTGGGGCCGGGCGATTTTCAAAAATGACCTTGGCTCCTAGGGAGATAAAGGCGGCCGGCGTGATGTTGGCCACATCAGCCACCAAGTGCTGTTTGGCGTATAAAATATCAGTCTGGCTCTGTATACCTATTATGCCTGAAGGTGTGGAAAAGGGGCAGAAGAATCAGAAATGTGCTTAAAGAGATTTTTTCCATTGTAATTTCTGTGAGCTTATTTTTATCCCCACCACTAACTTCAATTTTTCTTTCCTTGATAATGTAGATTTCTTATGAAACTCAGCCATGAGACTGTGACAGTTGAACTGAAGAATGGAACACAGGTTCATGGAACCGTAACAGGTAAAATATGATTCTCATCTGGAACATATGTTTCTCATCTTCAGTGTATATTTCTCATCTCGAACATATGTTTCTTATCTTGACACTTAGAGATGATTGATTAGTTTATGCTGCTAATTTTTAAACATTTAACTTTTAGGAGCCACAAGAATCAACAAGTTAAACACTGTTGGATCATGCTGTATATTTTGACTAATTGCGTGGAATTTTAAAATAAATAAAAAGTCATGATCTTCTTCTTCTTTATGTTCACCAGCTGTAAACTCTGGCGGAAAGTTCTGGCTGTTCATCCACTTTGAGACTGCAGTCCTGTTCCAGAAACTGAGAGTTACGTGTGCATTCCGTTTTACAGATCTGACTCATTTGTTTGCAGACTGCTGGTTCCTTGCCTCTCAGACTTCAAAGGAAGCTTCTAATTAGTCGACTCTTACGATATGCTTTTAGGTAGCCAGTGGGTCTATTCTTGTTTTCTTTATAATAGAGTCCTGGACCCACACAGGAAAAGTCATGACCAAAATCCATTCTTTTGTGGGTTTTTTTTGTTTGTTTTGGGTGTGGCGGGGGGTGCTATAGAATGGGTTGAAAATGAAGATGATATAGCCATGAGAATGAAGACAGTTTAGCATTTGCTAGAGCATTGTTGCTTCATCATAATCTTCAGCCAAAAACCAGGAAGCCTAGACTGCACCATGACGGCTCCCAGCTTGGACATAAGGAGTTACCAAAATCACATCGTGTAAGGCAGATAGCTAAGACCTGCGGACACTTGTTATTTTTAAAGGTCTACCATAAATTCTATACCTTTTCATAACCATCCAGAAGAACATATAATTTATAAATGTTAAAAATGCAGAAAAGTTTGCATTGCATTCTTCTTCTGCCTTCATCTGGAATTTGTAAATTCATTGTGCCCATTTTGTTTCCTCGTTCATAAGTGGTAACATTGCATTCTTATTTGATGGTTTGTAAATGATGATTGTGGACTCTGACATTTGTTCCATGGATCACCAGATGGGAAAGACTGATGTAAGGTGCTTCGTGGTGTGGCAGGTTCATGAGAGTAATCTTGGTAATCTTAGTTTCCATAGTAAACAGGTCACTCCATAGTTTCTCCACCCCTGTGCCAATGAAAAACACAGAATGTCAAACACTGTCTCTTGTGGAAGAATTGATGCAGACAGCAGTTTCTGCATAAATATCCATTAATATACACATGTATTTAAAAAGATAAAAGCCAGCTATCAGAAGTGCTGACACAAACAGTTTAACATAAAAAGTACAGTTCATCATCTATAGAAGCAACACTAACAAACAGATCAGCAGTTGAACAGTCAGTCAGGTTTAATCACACAAGGCACCACCAGTCCTGTGGCAACAGGTCACGCACCATTTTCAGAATCTACAGTGTTCAACACGTTGGTCACATTAGAAATACCATTCCAACTTAATTCCGCAGCTCAAAGTGTCGCACCATGCACTCAGCTTAGAAGTTAGGCGACAAAACTATATCCTGTCTGTCTACAGAAGGAGGAAAATTCAGCGGATACCATCTGTCTGAAGCAAAAGGTTTTTCACTACTGGTGACAGTGCCTATCATCCCTTTGGACTAGAATAATAGTGTTTGTTTCAGTGCTGTGTCTGCATGAATGAGTGTCTGATCTATTTTGTGTTTCTGTCCTTTGAACTGTGAACAGGTGTAGATGTCAGCATGAACACACACCTGAAAGCAGTGAAGATGACTGTCAAGAACAGGGATCCACAACAGCTGGATGCTCTGAGCATCAGAGGCAACAACATCCGTTATTACATTCTTCCAGACAGCTTGCCTCTTGATACTTTACTCATAGACGATGCACCTCGGTCGAAGGCCAGAGGCAGGAGAGAGGGGGGAAAAGGTAGAATATTGTCACCAGTTTAGTTCAAAATTGTTTTTGCATACATTTTCAGTGCGGTTTTTTTAAACTTAAATGGCATAAAGGTTTTGGTGTAGGATATGTCTAAGCTTAAAGCTCTGCAGTGGTTTTTATATGGCCAAAAATAACATACTATTCTGTTTTAAAAAAAATATCTTTTGTCAGTACCTTTTAGGGATGTTTTCTTTCAGAGTGCATCCATGAAAAAAGTGGCTCCTCCAGGTAAGATTTAACATAAACGTAGGGTGAGATTGTTTTCCAAAATAAAACTTTTCTCTCTTGAGGCTTTGACCTGAGGGTTTAATCGTCTTGAAATTACACCTCTCAATCAAGATGACAAACAATACCATCAGGGCATACCAAAAACCGCATTTAGCTTCTGAAGAAGTTATAATTAGGGCTGCCTAACAGCTACACCCGTCTGACGTTACCTGCAGTCCTGTATGGATAAGGATCAAACTGATAGACACTCCGTATTGGTAAGGGTCAAACTGATAGACACCCCGTGTGGGTATGGATGGAACTGATAGACACCCTATGTGGGTCCCAGGGCCCCACTGTGGGAAAAACAAGAAAAAACCAACTGCCTGCACAACAAGCATGTTGTGGGAGTCAACTAGTTGTGGGCATCCTTCGAAGTTTAAGCACATCTGCCTGAAAGACGCAACCAAAAGTCTGCATTAAAATAAGCCAGGTCTGTGAAATGGATGTGGACGCAACACTCAGATTCTGGAACATTACTGAAGTCTGGATGTGGACAAACACCTATAACTTTCCACCAGTTTACAGCCGGTGAACGAGAAGAAGAGATTGACAGGCTGTGAGTCCATGTTACTTGTCTCTGTTTCAAAACTTACTAGTTTCACTTTCGCCATAAGACTCGGAATTAATGCAAAAATTCATTGTTTTTTTTTTAATAAAGTCCATTTGATCTCTTGTATAGTGTCTGGTATCTGTGAGTAGCATAGTATAGTAAATGTACGTTAAGAAAGGTCTGATATCACATAGTAGCAGCAGACTTGCGCCAGCATTTGTTGGCAGTTATGGTTGATGATTTTACAATTTTATATTCAGTAGTTGGCATTTGACACCGAATGAGTGACACTCATGCATTAGTTGAACTCAGTGTAAATTGTCTGCAGCTGTACCTAAGCCACTAAGACATTTATGCTTGCCCTTAGAAAGGTGATTATTTTATTGAACTTTACGGCAACCCTTTACACATATGCACACACACAAAGTACAAAATTGATGGTCATGGTGTCAGACCTGTAAAACCCTTTGCCGATTGACATAGGCCTGTCCACAAATTAACCATCTCCTGTAGCATGTGTCACTTCCTGTGCTGACACCCCTCCATGCCATGACAGTGGGCCATCAGAAGTCTTCTCTCTTTGTTTTCCCTTGTCTCTGTCTTTACATAAATCTTTCCATTTGTCACATGTCCCAGTTTTTCTTTTTATATAACCTGGTCAAAACATTTCATCTGCCACCCTTCTCTGAAATAAATTGGTTTCTTTTGCTTAGCATTCAGCGCCTGAAAAATCTGGTTGTGTGTCTATTTTTGGTATTTTCTAAAACTTGAGTTGTGCATGCTCATCTGTTTTACAGATCTGCCTTATTTGTATGCAGACTGTTAGTTCCTCACCTCTCAGGCAGATGTAAATTGACTTTAAAGGAAATAACCTTAATAAGTTATGACAAGTTTGTTGGGAGGAGGCACAGTTAATCTATTCTTTATTCTCCCAAACTTGGTCCCCAAAACACACATGGGAAGTTGTTTTCGGGTCTTGGCCTTTTTCAAAACATCCAGATTACTCAGTTTATAATTTTTAGCATCCTTCTGTGAAGCCACATTTCTTAAGGGTCCCAGAATGTTTTGGCTTGATTATTGTTCTGGATTCACAGTCATATGTTCAAATTATTGACTCTATATAGCATACATAAATGTTTTTTGAAACTTCCAAAGATAATCTGCTGGATAAGATTTTCTTAATTTAAAAAATGAAGTTTTTGCTGTCCTATTCTGTTCTTCTGTAATAGATCTTCTGCTTGAGCATTCACCCTCAAAGTGGTGGTTAACATGTTGTGTTGTGGTTTATAGTATGGCTGAGAGCTCTGCAGCTTTGCGCCCAAGATATCCAGTTTTAACAAATCTCTAATTAGTCATCTTTTAGAACTTACTTTGGGGGGAGGGGGGGGGGCGGCGTCTAATCTACTATTAAATTTTCCATGAAACTAGATACTTAAAATGTCTTTACTTGTCCCAAATTAATGCCGTTGACTTTAATGGTATTTTAGGCAAACTTCATTTTGTGTGTGGTTCCTTATCATTACTTCTGTTACGCTATCTACAGAGAGAAAAATCAGCCATTCAGGTAAGAAAAAAGGATAGATGTAAAAGAAAGAAGTGATAACTTTAAAAAAAACGATGCAAAAAAAAGCTGTCTTTTTATCAACTATACTTTTTTTTTTAAATTTAACGTGGTGGTGTCTTGGAAAAGATGGTGATGGAGGGTACAGTCTGTAGAAAGCAAGGCAGGGGTCGGCCTCCGATGGATATGGGACATTGAAGATGCATTAGCATTTAAAGCACATGGGGCTGGAAAGCTGGCTAGGAAAGTGGATAATTTGAGGTGTTCTGTGGAGATAGCGACATTCTGTTAAGGACTTGCTGATTGATTAATGAAAGGTGCTTAATTTTGACATGTGGTACCTAAATCAGGGCCCTGGAACCCACATGTGACATCTTCCATCTTATTTTATCCATGAGCCTAGATACTTTAAAGTTCAATATTTGTCCCAAATTAATGACGTTGACCTTATGGTAATTTAGGCACACTTAATTTTTTTGTCATTATCATTACTTCTGTTACGCTACCCACAGAGAGAAAAATCAGCCATTCAGGTAAGAAAGAATGATAGATTGTAAAAGAAAAAGTCGTAGACTTAACCAAAAAACCACATAAATAATCTGTCATTTTAGTAACTATACTATTAAGCAAACTAAAAAAAAAAAACATACTTTTAACATTAAAAATCTTTGTGAAGTTGTTTAAATCACTCACAAGAATATCTTAGGATTCAACAAATCAGTTGACATTTCTTTTGTATCTGCTTATCAGTAGTTTTTAGGCCTATGGACTCCCCCCTTTCCCCTCAGCTAATCAGAACAAGCCATAGGATAACTGAGTTTCTATTTTTGAACAGTGTAGAGTGTGAGCAGAGCTTCAGGACAATTTTCAAGCGAGGAAAAAACAGGCAAACTTTCTAATCTGGTTGCAACATCAATATGGGAACACTTTGTTGGCCAATGAGGATGCATGTATGGGAATGTCTGGAGTGTGGTGGATTGATGTCCATTCTTGATTTATTCTGGAGTCCCCGTGGCGGAGCGGCTAGACGCTCGCCGCGGATCGGAAGGTAGTGGGTTCGCTCCCTGGAGGAGCCGGACTTTTTTCAAAAAATAAACTTGGCTCCCAGGTCGACCCAGCCTTGAGTGGGTACCGGGTGCAGTCCCGGGAAGTACAGGCGGCCGGCGTGATGCTGACCACATCCCCAATCTTGTGCCGATTGGTCTATAGAAATATAGGTCTAGCCCTATATGCCCTATACGCCTAAAGGCGTGGAAAAGGGTCCTTTACTTTTTTTTTTAAACTTGATTTATTCAGTCATTTTAGTCTAACTTCATGTGGTATGTTATCTTGTGTCAAAACTTGCCCTGAGAATTAAAATAAGGGTAGGAAGGAGTAATTGAAGCATAAAATTATGGTAGACATGTGGATTCGGAAACAAATGACCATGCAACAATGAGGCTTGTGATATTCCAAAGAAAAGGTTAGTTTTTTTTTTCAGGTAAGGTGCAAATATGACAGCCATGCTGTAACCAGATACACCAGAATTTTGTCCTCGGAGGAGCACAAAAGGCGATTGATTAAAGACATTTTTCTTAGCAGAAAAACAAAAACAAATAAAAAGTATTGTACAAGTTATACACACTGATTGTCTCTTTAAATACATATGTAAACATAAGTGGCCCCCAAAATCTCATTGGGAGAACAATAAAGACAAGCCCCTTTCCCCCAGATCAGTTGTTTCACTGTTATTGTTACCAAGAATTTATACACACTAATATTCTAGACTGGTAAATGTACGTAGTATGGTATAAACTAAGTATATTTACGTGTGGTGTGAGTAAAATTAAGTAATTTTTCTGCTGCCGTTTAGACATTTGCTTCTCATTTCTCTATTTTCACATTTTATTATAATAATTTAAAACATATAATGTGCAGTTATTGCAATGAAGGTTGACTGGAATACAGTCGCTACTGTCTTTAGAGATGTTGCACTGTGAGGTAAGTCTCTTCCGCTGTACAACTCTTATACTGCTGCGGAAAACTATGAGAATGGTTTAAACATAAAATAAACCGTTATCATAGAAATTGAACTATAATGCTCGAGGACCATGAGATTATTAAACACATTCATTGACGTGTAAGCCACATGGCCATGTTTATTTGTAATACGTTATTTTGAATGCCTGTAAAATGTGTGTATAAAATCCAGGATTGTTGAATCAGACCAAACAGAAAACATTAGACAGACAAAAATGTATAAACTGTAATACAGATATCTGCACCACATTAATATAATTAATATATATTTATATCTAAAATGTAAACACTACCCACAGAGAGAATAATCAGCCGTCCAGGTAAGACAACATGGCATATTGTACCAAACAAGTCGACCGTCTCAGTTCTTGTGGTGTCTGTATCTGTTTCAAAGCTTGCTAGTTTCACTTTCAGAAGAGAGGTTGCATTTATACAGAAATCAGTTTTCTGATGATAACCGTATGACCACCCAGTGTTTTGTAACATGAGGTTAGATACAATGTCTTCCTAGAAACAGTTGGTAAGCAGGGGGTCACTTGCCCCAGTTGCAAACATTAAAAAATTCTCTGGCGGTGCTAGAGAGTAGGTTGTAAGCCAAGACTATTCAGCTGGCAACCGGCGGGCCATATCTGGCCCGTAGATCATTGCCAGTTGTCTTGTATTGATGATCTTTGTATGCTGGAGCTCTGGCTAGTGATGATCTTTGTATGCTGGAGCTCTGGCCTGTGATGATCTTTGTATGCTGAAGCTCTGGCCTGTGATGATCTTTGTATGCTGAAGCTCTGGCCTGTGATGATCTTTGTATGCTGAAGCTCTGGCCTGTGATGATCTTTGTATGCTGAAGCTCTGGCCTGGATGATCTTTGTATGCTGAAGCTCTGGCCTGTGATGATCTTTGTATGCTGAAGCTCTGGCCTGGATGATCTTTGTATGCTGAAGCTCTGGCCTGTGATGATCTTTTTATGCTGAAGCTCTGGTCTGTGATGATCTTTATATGCTGAAGTTCTGGTCTGTGATGATCTTTGTATGCCGGAGCTCTGGCCTGTGATGATCTTTGTATGCCGGAGCTCTGGTCTGTGATGATCTTTATATGCTGAAGCTCTGGTCTGTGATGATCTTTATATGCTGAAGTTCTGGTCTGTGATGATCTTTGTATGCTGGAGCTCTGGCCTGGATGATCTTTGTATGCTGAAGCTCTGGCCTGGATGATCTTTGTATGCTGAAGCTCTGGCCTGTGATGATCTTTATATGCTGAAGCTCTGGTCTGTGATGATATTTTTATGCCGTCTGGTCTGTGATGATCTTTGTATGCCGGAGTTCTGGTCTGTGATGATCTTTGTATGCCGGAGCTCTGGCCTGTGATGATCTTTGTATGCCGGAGCTCTGGCCTGTGATGATCTTTTTATGCTGAAGCTCTGGTCTGTGATGATCTTTATATGCTGAAGTTCTGGTCTGTGATGATCTTTGTATGCTGGAGCTCTGGCCTGTGATGATCTTTGTATGCTGGAGCTTTGGCCTGTGATGATCTTTGTATGCTGGAGCTCTGGCCTGTGATGATCTTTGTATGCTGGAGCTCTGGCCTGTGATGATCTTTGTATGCTGGAGCTCTGGCCTGTGATGATCTTTGTATGCTGGAGCTCTGGCCTGTGATGATCTTTGTATGCTGAAGCTCTGGTCTGTGATGGTCCTCATTTTCAAAACTGGTGCCAGCACAAACTTAGTTGAATAGCCCTGTTGTAATGTCACCACCATGACCAATATTTTCAAAGAAACAACCTGCTCACAAGTAAACCCGGATTGCCTCAAAGCAATCCTTATAATAATTAATGCAGGTTTGGACACCAATATTTGTGATTAATAAATGATTCATAATTTTGTGCTTATCCCTCAAAACTGGAGAGAGTTTGGAAAGTATAAACTTGTGTGTGTGTGTTTTGTGCAGTCTTTGTTAAAAGCTCTGTAAGTAAATCTTTTTACCAATTCATTATTGTCTGGCATATTTTGCTATTTCTTGTCAAATGCATTGCTACAGAATTTACATCAGCATACAATGAACCACCGAATATAAACTTTTTGCTGTAATGCACCAAGGGCACAGTCTTGTGTTCACACTGTACAGGTATTCACACAATTCTAAAATTAACCGTTTGATCAGAGTTCTGGTAATAGTCTTCCAACTTAATAGTGAACGAGTTGCCTCATATTTGTTACATTCCTGTGCCGCTATATGCCAGTTTCACAATGTCCTTTACTGTCCCTGGTGATAGACTGCAGTCTTGTCTAGCATGCACACGCATTAAATGCATAAGGCAGCCATCAGAAATGCGAACACAAACAGTCCTGCACTAGTAGTGCAGTACATCGTCGATGGGAGCAGCATTTACAACAGATGAGTAGTCACACACACACAGTTAATTGCATAAGACACCAACACTTCTCTGGTAACAGGCCAGTTTTCATTTTCTGAATCTAAATGAAATCTGTTGCTTGGTGTAACACCATGCACCATTTGATCCTCTTTTTTTTAACATAAAATCTATTGTCGATGCTGATATGAAAGTTAACATTATATTGGATTACATAGTTGCGCTATAACTACTATTGCTGCATAATTTCTTTTCAGCCCCAATGGCTGGAGGAGCTCGTGGACGTGGTCGTGGTGGACCAAGAGGGCGTGGTAGAGGAGGCCCACGAGGAGGCGGTGGTAGCCGTGGAGGACCAAGGGGCAGACGATAAAATATGTGAATGTTTAGTTTACATCCATTTTGTATATATTATCACTTTACAATGTTGAATATACTATACTGTCCTTGTCTTATTCCATAATTTGTCGAGGATGATACGAAACAGATTTAGTTGAAATTGTTTAAGATTTTCAGGGTTATCAGTTACCCTTACAGTGTTCTTTTCAAAATCATCTCCATTGCATGTCGGGAATCCCCAATAATACTCAAGTCTTCTAAGCCTGTTTCCAAGGGTGTTTGTGCTGAGGTCTCCTGTTCTTTGCTGGTTGATGTAGCGACTAGGCTCTTGTGTGGTTTTCAGTGGGGATGGTTTTCCAGATAAAAAGGTGCAAATACTCACACTTAAAAAGGTGCCATACTCCTTAAAAAGTGCCTGTTAAGTAATGCTAATCCCTAGGTGGGTTCTGGGACCCCATTGTGGGGAAAACTAGAATAGACTCACTGTCTTCCAAGCAAGCATGTTGTAAGAGTCTACTAATTGGGAGTTTCCTTTAAAGTCGGAGTGCATCTGCCAGAGAGGCAAGGAACCAACAATCTGAATACAAGTAAGCCAGATGTGTAAAATGGATATGCACGCAAAACTCAGGTTTGGAAAGGGGGGGGGGGACAACCAGGACTTTCTGCCGGAGTTTGCAGCTTGTCATTGTGAAGAAGAAGTAGTGCTGTAAATTGCATTACTGCGTACTGCCAGGAAAAAAGCCAGGATTGTCAGTTACCTATAAAAATAAAATATGAAGAAAAAAATGACTGCATTACTTGAATGTATTTCTGACAGAAGTCGTTCCAACTTAACCACCATCTGCGGTGAAGGTTGGCAACAGTGTACCCACTTCTGTCCTCGGAGTTATTGTGGTGAGACCCCAATCTCTACCACAGCGTGACTTGCACCACTGTCCGAACACTGCGAGAGTGGTTTAACAAAAACAAAAATAAACTGCTGCGAAATTGAACACTTAATTCTTGAAGGCATTGACGTTGCTCTAAGCCATGTTACTATCTGGGGCATCTTCTTCTTTGCGTTAACCAGCTGTAAACTCTGACGAAAAGTTTTGGTTGTTCATCCGTTTCTTGACTTAAGTCTTGTTTGAGAACTTGATTGGTGTGTGCACATCCGTTTTACAGATCTGCCGTATTTGTATGCAGAATGTTTGTTGGTTCCTTGTCTCTCCGGCAACTGCACTCCGACTTTTAAGGAAACACCTAATTAGTCAACTCACTTGACATGCTTGTTAGGGAGGCAGTGAGTCTGTTTTTGTTTTCCCCACAATGGGACCCCGGAATCAACACAGGCTTATTTAGAGTATGAAATTGAGAGATTGAACAAGTTGCTAAGTTTGTTTAGAAAATGCTGTGTGTGGTCAGCTGTAATGTTAACTTAGCATACGGTTTCAACCAGACCTTTTGCCATACTGTGTGAGCACATCTGTCTGGCAATCTTGACAGTGTTCCTATTGTGTTTAGCCTGATTGTAGTAGCAAAGAGGCTTCTTCAAATCATCATTGCATCTAGATGTGTCAACCGGAAAGTGCAAATATGGCAGCCATGTTGTCAATGCATTTACATCTTCAAATGAACATAGAAGAAGAAGATCATTGCTAATGCTTTTTAAAAAAGCTAGTGATGAGGCAGTATTATTTTAATTTCTATGTAACTTACATTTTGCTTGTATGCTTTATTCTTCTGTGTAATTGGTACTATTTCTTTGGGAATAGTTTGGGGAAATAAATAATTAATGAAAACAAATAATGAAACTCTTGTTCATGTGTAATTATGTAGGCATTTGTTTAGTTATAATATTGTATACAGAAGATTGACCCGCTCAGGTGAAGTTTCAGACGTGAACCTTTAAAAGTAGACCTAGATAATTTTGTATAACCTAATATTGAGATACTACATTGAGAGACCAAGTTTCTTTCAGGTAGACCGTGACAGCGACGTTTCAGAGCTGTATAAAGCAACTTTTCTCATCAACAATTTATTCATTTTGATCTTGGTGTTATGAGAAAGAGACTTTGACTTTAGCAGATGAAGGAAATAATATACTTTATTTCCAGATTGTATTTCTTCTCTCAGATTGTTGGAACAGTTGAAATTTGCACCCAAGTACTTAAATATTTCCATGCATTTGATTTTCAAATTATAACTTATATGTGGCCGAGGTTTATATCTTTTCCTTGTTTTGTTACTACTGTATCATGTATTCTCTCTTATCTTGATTGATAATTAGTCCCATTTTCTGAGCTGCTTCTTTTAAGAGATCTCCAACGATATCAGTCGTCTTCCATACATAATTTGTCATGGTAATTAACTTCTTTGGTATTCCAAAGTCTTTCATTAGCATTCCATAGACACTATCACAGTGCACTATCATATGGCTTTTTCAAATCTACAAAAGCATATCATCCCGATTTTGTTCTGCCGTAAAATGAATATCTGATAAGAATATCTGATCTTATTATTGATGTTTTGTTGGAAACCTCCTTGGTATAATCACCCAATATACAAGGGGAAGTTAATAAGTAGGTCACAGATGGTTATGGGATGGTAGGAAATGTATTTGGTGGTTTCTATAGGTGACAGCAACATCTAACTTTGTACTCCGTTTGTTAGGTGGCGCTAGGTGTCGCATGCACATTCACAACACATAAATAAATTGGCGCCTGTACTTACAGAGTGTACCCTCAAAGAACAATTTGCTGTTGTGCATTTTAATTTTGGGCAAAAGGGATATCTGCAAAGGACAAATGCATCATTGTTGATGGAAATTATGTCGAAAAATAAAGGGACAGTATGTGTACAAGATTTATAGTTTTCGAGTCATCTTCTTTAGTTTTTTATTTAAATAACCATTTGTTGTATCTTCGTCGCATGGTTTTAGCCTGTCTGGTATTACCGCCAATAGCATCTTACAGCTTGTAGACAATAGATATTCCTCTATAATTTTTACATTTATACTTGTCTCCTTTCTTTAACATGGGTATTAATAATGACTCCTTGAAGTCCTAGGGCAATTTATGTGTCTTCCAAACGGGTTTCATTAATTCATATATCTATAAAAGTAATAATACCAGGCATGGCATGGTTAATTTGTACACCTCTTATGTCTTTATTTACCATTCTATGTGTGGGTTCTGAAGCCCTTTAGGGGAAAAAAAAAAGGGGGGGGGGGGTGTCACTGCTCTCTCTACTTACAAGACTTGAATTATAAAGCTCAGCTAATTATGCACGTTTTCCTCAAAGTTGGAGTACATCTGCCTAAGGCGAGGAACCAACAGTCTAAATAGATAAACCAGACATGTAAAACAGATTTACACGCAAAATTCCAAGACCGAAGTCCAGAAATGTCTGAACAACCAGAACTTTTTGCAGGAGTGAATGCTAAAAAAAGAAGAATTTATCATTTTACTTACACCCATACCATGGCTGTTTTCTGCCTTTCTTCTCTCATTGGATCACAGAGGTTAGAACACAATTATGCCAAGTCTGTTGATATCCCGAATAAAAAAACAGCTGACTGAGAATGTATAGTAAAAATCGGTGGTACAGAACAGACAAGCTAAAGTAGAAGCTGTCCTTAGTGTTGCAGCAATGATGATTCAAGCTGTGATGGCACCACCTCACATGAATGACTACAATAAGCTTAAACATGTGAAACACAATGAGAATATCACTATCCATGATAGAAGAGGGCTGAGTGGTCTCGAGGTATGGTGTCTGCCTCGAGTGCTGGAGATCCTGGGTTCAAGCCCAGGTGAAGGCTGGGATTTTTTCAAGTGGACTAGTAATTTCTCCTGGTTTCTCTGGGCAGTAAGATCGGACGCCCATGTGTTTTCTTGCGCTTATAAAAAAAATCCCTTGGCATTTGCAAATCTAAAAGAGTAGCCTCACTGCCCTGCCCAGACAGAATTCGGAACTAAAAATCTACCCAAAGTATTTCAGGATCCTGGCCGGTGCAATGGGTTCATGCACTGCACTAAGATTTTTCAGGCTCAGGCTTGAGTTTGAAGTAGAACGGAGCACTCATGGGTTACACCTGTGTGTCAAAATGTTGATCCGTTGAATAGACATAAACATATTATCAGACAAATGTGCTCTTGCAGTATGGCAAGGCCCTGGTTGGAACTGTGAAGAAAGTCCAGGGCACGTCAGTCTTCTGGCTGCACCACTAACAAACTGGCTGCTCGTCATTGAGAAGACAAACAAAAGGGAGATTCCAGAAGAACAAAAGCAGTCTGTTACAGGTTAGTTGCGTATCCTTTACAGGACGTTTCAGAACCAACCCCCAAAAGCTCTGTTGCATGGTTTTTTTCTAGGCAAATTTACGTCCACTGTCGAAACCAACGCAAGGCGCATGGCCCGCAGCTTGGAACGAACCTGGCATCCCGGCATTATGAAACAGTCTGTTATAGTGGGGCAAAAATCTGCCAGGATGCAGATTCAAACCCAAAATCTGGCAGGCAAGCATCAAGTTACTGTGCTACTGTTGACACCTCCGGCAATGAACTGAATACACACAAAAACTACATTACTAAACAATACCAAAGTATTAGAAAGTGACAAAATACACATGCTTCACCTGCAAGTTTATTCGTACAGCTCTCATTCTAGTGGATAGAGATTGACTGTCTAGTCTCCATCACAGAAGAAATAAAAACATGCCACTGGAGAAATACCACATTTATTGTTTACAACTTTGCTGCTAAATTAATTTACAAGGTAAGCCATTTCTAACAAAGGGAGAAGATCTAATTAGGTATTATAAACAAGGAACTTTAGAACCACAAACCTCCATGTCATTTAACTAGTTGGTCATCATCCTGCATGTCATTATGTCAACTTTGGGTTCACAGTCTAGGAACTTTGGAACCACAAACCTCCATGTCATTATGTCAACATCGGGTTCACAGTCTAGGAACTTTGGAACCACAAACCTCCATGTCATTATGTCAACATTGGGTTCACAGTCTAGGAACTTTGGAACCACAAACCTCCATGTCATTATGTCAACATCGGGTTCACAGTCTAGGAACTTTGGAACCACAAACCTCCATGTCATTATGTCAACATTGGGTTCACAGTCTAGGAACTTTGGAACCACAAACCTCCATGTCATTATGTCAACATTGGGTTCACAGTCTAGGAACTTTGGAACCACAAACCTCCATGTCATTATGTCAACATTGGGTTCACAGTCTAGGAACTTTGGAACCACAAACCTCCATGTCATTATGTCAACATCGGGTTCACAGTCTAGGAACTTTGGAACCACAAACCTCCATGTCATTATGTCAACATTGGGTTCACAGTCTAGGAACTTTGGAACCACAAACCTCCATGTCATTATGTCAACATTGGGTTCACAGTCTAGGAACTTTGGAACCACAAACCTCCATGTCATTATGTCAACATCGGGTTCACAGTCTATTCTTCCATTCCATTCTATCCCGTGCTTTCCTCTCCATACTATGGAGGGTATGCAGACCAGCTCCCTTCTCATCAATGTTCATTGAAGGGTTTGCCTGGTGGGTGATGAGGGTCAACATCACGTCAGCCAGGGAACTTGATGATGATGATGATGATACATGTATGGGTGAGTTGTGTGGTACTAAGAAAGTTTTAAAAAGCCAAGTCTTGCTCACATTAGCTGTAACTATAAATGCATGTTGAGTTGTTCAGAACACAGTAAGTAACAAACAAAACTCACACATACAAGAAGAAACTTAATGATATTTTCAAGATAGAAAAAAATTGACTGATAATAAAAAGTCTTTCAGGAAGACAGCAAAATCAGGATATCAATGTCAGGTACAATAAAAAAAATTCACAAGTTTCGCCTTTGCCACTCTGTAAGTTTTCTTACTGCACTGCTGACAGTGTGATCAATGTGATTTTTGTGCTTCGTTGACAGTGAAACTGTTGTTAATCTTTCTTATTGCCAACTCATTATACTGCTTAAAGAGCTGTATTATTAATGTGCCATATATACTGGTGTTTGTGCTTCGTTGACAATGAAACTGTAGCTAATCTTTCTTACTGCTGACTCATTGTACTGCTTATTGGCCAGCAGGTGCCACAGAGGTGGAAATTCAGCAATTAATTCAAGATAATGCTAGCTCAGAGGATTTGATCATTTACACAGACGGTTCAGTGTCAAGAGGCAAAAGAAGTGCTTGGTCTTCTTAGCAAAAGTTAATGGTCGACGTTTGGTGCAGGAGAGCCAAGCGTATGATATCACAACATCCAGCTTAAGAATGGAGGTGAAGGCAGTCACTGCAGCTTTCCACTGACTAGAGAACATGACACATACACACATCGTGATTGTAACTGATTCAGAAAGCATGCTGAGGAAGATCAGAACAGGTATGCTTCGTGCGGAGGACACGAGTGAGAGAGTATTGTCTGGATTTTTTCTCTGGGTTACGCCGGTGTGTGGGACAGGCGGACAGACTGGCTGGCTCTGCACAACTTGGCGGAATACTGCTACATGATAGGGCAGATGTGGTTAGTGCATTGTGGGAGAGCGTGTACAATTCGGAGGAGCAGATGGATCACCACAGTCTGGTGAGATTGATGCAGTTGGGGGTGACAAGAGGTTCTGGCAGATGCTCGAGGCTCAGAGGAAAGGCAAGACGGACGTTTAATCAGAATGCTACTGGCACCATTAGTATCGGAACTCTTCGCTGGCTGCTGAAGATGGGACAGAGTGCTTATGGGAATGCCCTGAGTGCTGTGATGTCAATTCTTGAATCAAATCAAATCATTGTACTGCTTAAAGAGCTGTGTTACCAATGTGCCATATATAGTGGTATCTGTGCTTCGCTGACAGTGAAACTAGATAATCTTTCTTACTGCTGTCTTATTGTACTGCTTAAAGAGCTGTATTACTAATGTGCCATATATACTGGTGTTTGTGCTTCGTTGACAATGAAACTGTAGCTATTCTTTCTTACTGCTGACTCATTGCACTGCTCAAAGATGTGTTACCAATGAGTTGGAAAGTATTTGTGCTTCGCTGACAGTGAAGTTTTAGCTAACTTTTATCACATACGGTCACTGCATTGTGTGATCATCTCTCCTGCATAGACAGTTTACTGTGTTATCTCACATAGTTGCCTTTTATCCAGATCCATCTGACCTTTCAGACAACCATGTGCCACATGCTTCCTGTCAAAAAGTGAATTCATAGCTGCTACGCTGGTCACCCACAAATTGGCAAGTCAATGTTCTAATATACTTGCATAAATTTCTGCTTATATCATCTTTACATAAGCAAAATAAGAGAGACTTTAACTCCCAATTATAATATATATATACATACTGTATCCCATTACAATCCAGAGCAATTTTTTCCAAAATAGCTGGTGCCATCTTCCAGGTTGACTATGGAAAATATTTAGCTCCAAGTATACTGTTATTTCAAGCTATAGCAAGTTCATAGAATGACTGGAAGAGCGACTGGATCCAATCGGAAGTGTCGGTTTACAGCATCTTGAGGCAACGGGGTAAAAAGATTGGTTTCGATTCATAAACTAATGACAAATGTTGAATATGTTATTTAAACAAAAAATGTGCATACAAATTAAAGTGCATCTTATAATCCAAAATGTATGTTCTGTTATAAATCAACACTGCTTTGTCTTCTTAAAATCTCACCAAATATGTTTCATGGCACATGCACAGGGCTCATTGACCAATCACAGGATGCATTTAAAATGGCAGGACAACACACACGTCACGAACAGGGCAAAAATTGCTTGACACGTGAGTATATTAAAAATACATTTTTTTTTAAATGTATGCAGAAGTATCATTTAACTATTACCAATAGTGAGATTCTGTTTACAATATAGGTAGAGATTCACTCAACTGTAGTACTAAATGGCCAAGATGGATTTATTTAAAAGTGATTTCAAATCACTTATCACAAGTAAAAACATGGAACTGTGGAGAGAACAAACCAACAGTAAACATCTACAAGACCCCATTAACAGAAAACCATGTAAAATTTTCCGTCTAAGAACAGAACACTGCAGGCTCAACTACAACAGCAAAAAATATAAAATACAGTGCCCACAGTGTGCATGACAGATGGGACAACATACACATGAGCACATTCTGCAGTCTGGCCTACTATAATTACAACTACAAAAAAAAAGAAACCAGCCTCAAGAGCAAAACAGTGCAGAACAAGCTATGGGGAACTATGGAGGACCTGCCACTTACATGGACATTGATAGAGGCAGCCCTCCTGATGATCTGACCTGAGCAATAGAAACCGAACGTAAAGAATAAGAAGAAGATTTATAACAGAAACAGACAAAAAAAATCAATGTGGCAAATGTAGCTGAGGGAATGTTTGGTTAAAGGCAAGGAAAAGGTGCTCTTCTGTAAACGGTCTGGCACAACATGGTGAAATAAACAGCTGGAATTGATATACATCACTGCTACATGAAAAACAAAACTAGGACAACCATCACCAATCCAGAACCCAGGGTAAAACTGACATCCATTCAGTGTTGTTATTGTTAACAAAAGGGTACACAGTGAAATAAACCTTTAAAAAAAACAGCTAAAATGTATCATTTCTAAGGAGGATTTGAGAGTTTCGGGCTGTATGGCTAGTGCAGGCAGGACTGCCAATGAGACTTTTTGAAAAACCCAGCTGAACAAAAACCCAAGTAATACATAGGCAAAGAACAAACAAACAAAAAAATAAAATTTAAAAAAAAACCTCGATTGTTAAAAAGTGCGCAAGTTTTATAGTTACAAAACGAAACATTTACCCACTTTTATATAAAGATATATTTTTTTTAAAACCAAGATTTCCAAATCTGAACCCAAGGCGTTAAATAAAACCCAGATCTGGGGGTAAAACACCATCATTGGCAGTCCTGAGTGCAGGCGTCACAAATTATGCCACTTAGGAATTTTAAATGTTTGCCTGTAGCAAAAAAATTATGATTGCCTTATCAAGGATTCAAACCTGGGGCTCCTGAATGAGCCCAGCATTCTAATCACTCAGCCATGTGTGGGGAGAAAACTTTGTACGTTAAATTAAGGCAGTGGTAATTTTAAGTCTGTTTACTATCTTCGAGGCAACTGCCTTCACAAAACAATTCCTAACAGGTCTATAGGTCAAATAAAATATAATAGTAACAATATGAAAATTTAAAAACCATTCAAATGCAAAGTGACAGAACAGTAACTAACTCTACTGGGGGGAAAAAAAAACTTTACAAATGAGCAACAGGTTTACAAGAAACAAAAGTGTATAAAAAACAAAACTTGTAGTGTACAACAGATCTATCAACCACAGTAGTAGGCCCGCCTCCCAACACTCTTCACCTTACATGTTGAATTAACAAGAAGTAACACAGCACCAGACAGCTTCTGAATGGTTAGAATGGAGGTCCAAATGCTGTTGCCCCGTGATAAGCTGAAGGGAGGGGATAACCTGGGGGATAGCCAGCTATGGCATAGGATCTGGCAGTTGGGGCAGGGATGGCGCCGGGCATAGGTGAATATCCAGCAGCAATGAGAGGGGCACCTGCTTGAACAGGGGCAGGGTATGGGGAAGGGGGAGCTGTTCGAGGTGCCATGGCGGCCTGGTAGCTCATCCCTGGGTACTGTGCAGCAGATATGTAAGCATGGGTGGAAGTGGGCATGCACTGCAAGTTGGAGTAGGGCAGTGAGTGGTAGGCTGGCGATATTGTGTATCCAGAAGGGCCTCCATTGGACACCATTGCATAGGCTTGGGGGGCTGGGGCAAAGCGGGGTGCTAGACCAGGCATCCCAGCTTGTGTGGGTGGATACCCCGCAGGTGCTGCAGCGTAGGGCCCCGGAGCTGGCATATAGATGCTGGGCTTGTCTGCACCTGGAGAAGGGATGCTCTGACTGCCATTTGCTGGCAGGCCTGAGTAGTACATCTGTGGTGTAAGCGCGCTAGATATGAAACTGAAAGAGAAGAGAAAAAAAAACACAACTGTTATGATTCAAGCAATTAAATGTGAAAGCTCAGTGACTGGTCCCCTACAACTATACAGGAAATGCTAAATAACTTACAAAGAGAACTGATTATCCACATCATCCCTATATGGGATCCAGGGACCTACTGTGGAGGAGAAAGAAAAGAAGATACGACCCCCCCCCCCCCCCCCTGTTATAAAAGTCTACTAATTAGGAGGTTTTCTTCGAAGTCGCACTGTATCTGCTTGAAAGACAAGGAACCTTCTGTTTATGTTTAACTAAGTCAGATCTGTAAAATGGATGTGTATGCAAAACTCAGTTTCTGGAACAAGACTCAAATCAAGAAACACATAAACAAGAACTTTCTGCTGGAGTTTACAGCCAATGAACACCAAGAAGAAGAAGAAGATCCACATCAGAAAGAGACATCCTACATTCCTTTGACATGTTATGAAACCAGGGAAAAACTGGAGTGCACGATAACAGCAGGAAATTTGAAGATGAAGAAATGTAGAGGGAGACCAAAGGAGAAGATAATAGACAGTTTGGACCATGGCATGGGGGTCAATCTGTATATAAGAAAGGACTGATCCACTAGACAGAAGGCTGTGAAAAGGCATCACTACCAACACCACATGGCATAAACTATAAGATGAGGAATTCTGCTCATTCAATCACAATGAATTCTAAATGCACATAAAAAAAGAAAATAATTTCTTTTGTATAAAGGACATATTAGTTGTACAACTTCTTCAGGCAGTCGTAAAACAACCTCATTTATTGGCTTTTGGCTTATTAGACAATTTTCAACTAACACAGCATGTTGAGAAAAGAGGAGACAAGGTATGCTTCATGCAGAGTGACAAGCATCGTTTCCAGTTCCTGGCTAGTTAGCTTCTTTTGGAAAGTTTCTCCAGGTGTGTTGGGGAATGAACAGGCAGACAGACTGGCTGGTTCTGCACCACCTGGTAGTAAACATGCACGAAAAGCTAAATGTTGTAAAGAGCTTCTGGGAGAGATTGAACAGTGCAGAGACCAGAACAGATCATTACGGTCTGAAAATACTGGAGCAGTGTGGCGTGACCAGGGGTTCTGTCCGATGCTCAACATTCAGTTACTGATACCATCTGAACTAGAACTCAGCACCTGTTGCTGAAGACTGGGATGGATTACTTATGGGATCATTCCGAGAGCTATGATGCTTGTTTTTTATTTTCAAACTAAAACAATATACTGACTACCAAACCTGTTAAGTCTTGCACTGTCCCAGATGTCACATGTTTTTAACATACTCATATTTTGTATTTTTGCACCAAACTGAACGGAGAAGACATTTCAAGAAAAAATAATTGTGTAATGTTGTTGTACATCATCACTATGTGGCTGCAAATTGGCGAGGAGAAAAAAAAGGCAATCAAAAAAAAAATCTTCTGGCACCAATTTAATATTTTTTTTTAATGAACTGATCCTAACTGAGAGCTCGGCCCTACAGTGTACAATTTTAAAAACCACTGGCTGTCTGCCATTCTGCACCAAGAATTTCTGATACATTATAACTGAACTGTTTAACTCAAAAAGTCACAAAACGATATTTTCCCAACACGTGCATCGCAGGAATCACACACTGGTAAACATCAAAGATTGCACTGTGAAATGATTTTCAGTTTTTTTTAAAAAAGCACAATCTATATTAACAGACACATCTAACAATACACACTTGAAGACATAGATGAAACATTTTACATGAACTAATGCAGCACAACACACCTATTTCTGACTGCCATGACCCTGCAGCAAGTGAAATGTCATCATCTATCTGGACAATGTTAATGCAGTTCATAAGAATGATCAAAGTCACAGTCATCAGACTGTTCACAAATATTTTTACCTTCACTTTCTGATTTAAAACTAAAACAAACAAGAAAATACCCAACAGCCTCAGATATATTACCCAAACTGTTCAACCATGCCCCCATTATCAAAACATCCTCATAACCCGTCATCAACATGGGATCTCCCTAAAAAGATTTGTGGAAAATTTACTTTGAGCACTACTAAATTGTTTCCCATAAGGAAAAATTGAGAAATGAATGGACAAATAACTTCAACTACACTTATCACAAAAGTCACATTTTTAACATAACAGCGAGCGCCTAAAGTTACGATCACAGGGGGTGTGATCGTGGTATCCTGGTATAACAGTCGCCCGATTCATAACATGCAGCTGTGGTAGCCAGTGGGTTAAAAACTAACACCAAAATACAAGCGGTTGTCCAAAATACACGAAGAAAAGATTTATTCTACATCATCATCTCAACACACATCTTGTAGAAATATGTTTTAACCCCCTTAGCACGGACGGGCCGATTATCGGCCGGCAGATGTCTGGCCAAAAACACGGAACGGCCGATCATCGGCCCGACCGTGTTTCGCCTCGAACCGCTAAGAAATCTCCTATTTTGAAACACTGAAAGTGATTCATTTATATTAACTGCTGTATCAGCTTTACACATGGCGACTTTTGAGTGTTTGGTATCGAAGTGAAAATTGTTCTTGTTTTTTAGATAGTGACCTGAACCGCTAAAAGTATGTCTGACTCGTATGTTTCTGCCCCTAAACTTCAGGCTCAGGGTATATCCACCCGAAGGTGTTGACACTCCGGCACATCCATTTCTTGTGCTGACTGATGGTGAAAAACACATGTCACCTAAAGATATTATTGCTGTTTCATATATATATATACCTGTTTTTGACTACTGAATTGCTTACAACATTTGCAAAAAGGCCAAAGATCAATAAAAAGATTTCAAATAAAAACAATTTTTGTTTTTAGTTTTATGTTTCCAGCATTGAAGTTGAAAATTCAAATTCATATTTTCTATTTTTAGATATACAAATGAGATAATTTGCATATACATCAATTAATTTTAACGATATTGTGAAAATCATGAACTTCAATCTATATCCTTCAAATAGATATATTATTTCATGGGGGTCAGAATAACAGAAATCTGTCAAAAAATTAAATTAAGTAATGACCAAATTCACTGAAAAAATGCTCCGTGTTTTTGGCTCGACCTCTGAAAAACTTCCCGTGCTAAAAGGGTTAAATAATGTTTTATTTTTAACACATGTGGCTGAAAATAAATAATACAAAACAGACAAGAAAATCAATATCATCAGTGTGATAAGAAAATTTAAATGTCCTCACCTGGCTGTCTTCTGATCTGTTTGAAGACCACTGAGCGTTTGACAAGATAACCTTGTGAAAGAACAGAATATAGAAATATATATAAGTCAGTATAGAATCGATTTTTTGTTTGTTGCAATTATATTGTCTACATTATTAAACAATAAAATGTCGCCAATTCACAGAATCCCTAGAATCATGGATCAGGTCCATCTTCTCTTTTTTACCTCATCCATGTGGTTAGGCCGTCCAAGTATTTATGTCTTTGCCTCCCCTTTGCTCTTTTGTCAACCAAATCTGTGAGCTGTAAACAGGTTCTTGAGTTGATTCCTTCTTATTAAATGCACTTAAGACTGACTGTCTAAATCTAATTTCTCTAATCAGTTTACGGCAACCACCTGTCTTCAGTAGGACTGCCTCATTTATATTTCTATCATTCCTTGACATTCTTCTAAATAACATCAGATCTCAGATGCCAGCAGATGTTTTTCAGAACTCAGAAATTACAAAACAAATTAGTTTGTGTTACATGCAAGCACAGGCGGCACAGCAGTTAGACACCTGCCTGCTGACCCACAGGTCTTGGATTCAAATATGCACCAGGACATTCATTTTTTTTCTTCAAAATTAAATCTGGCTTCCAGGTTGATTCTGGCCTCAAATGGGAACCAGGCGATGTCTTGAAAAGTAAAGGCGGCTGGCGTGATATTAATAGTATAACCCACTGAGTTCTTTTCCAAAACATTTGTCATAAAAAAGGGTTCTTTGCTTTTATTTACACAAAAGCATCATTAAAATGGTAAGACTGTGAGTCCTCTAGTAAAAATGTTTTTAAACTTAGACCAATGCACTGGTATCAGTTCACCTCAGTCATGAAAAGGGCTTGCCTGTATCAGAATGAGGCTGTGTGTTGCAGAGCTCTGCTTCCCTCTTTTAAGAGCAGAAACCTAGCAGGATATGAAAGACCTGCAGCAGAACTTCACATCTGCTCATTCAACACAATATATACAAACAAGAAATCAAGTGTCCGGCAAACTTGATAAGAGTATTAACTGAAAAAAATAAAATAATAACAAAACAAAAACAAAAACTTTTATTTTATTTATTTGTTATTCCCTTTTGCTATCTTCAAAATAATGGTAGATAAGTAGAATCCAATGTACATACCTTAGGTCAACCACATGGGTCTCTTCTGTGAAACTGATAAACCGCAATCTGAAAGGCACATCTGGAAAAAAAAAAGGATTTAATCAATAGACAAATCATGTTGTATATGCAACGAAGACACTCCAGCTATTACCTAACCATAATCACTGGAAACAAACACTGACATTTCTGTTATCATGTTATTCTGATGCAAACACTTAACAGAAAAGAGCAATGAATTTAATAGCTCTGTCACCTTCATAGACAAATAGAAGGCATTTGACAAGTTAACTGATCAGTGGCTCAACACAGAGTAAGCAAACATCTTATCGAAGTGTGCAAAAGTGTATACAGACTGCAGAAGTAAAAGTTAGAATAAATCAAGGAACATCAAAAAATTCTCGGTAGCATCTGGTGTAAGACAGGGGTGTGTCTTCTCATAACTTCAGTTTATTACTTACCCCAACAGTAAACACAAAGATGCCAAGTCCAGGAAAGAAAAAATCAGTAATATCAATGATGTTTAAATCTCATTTTGACCAGGCCTTGACAGCAGATACAACTATAAAATTGCAACATTTCAAATCCATGAATGAGAAATGTAAAACAAACCATACGAGAATC